CGTTTCATAATATTTCTTTGTTTATATTGATTAGTTAGTTAGGACAAAAATTGAATTTAATTTGGGGAAATATTATGCCTATCGAAATTTATGGGTGGGGAACAAAGTGAGTACTCGGTTTCCCTACATTGGAGTCCTAGCCTTAGTGTTCTGACACCTATGACTGTATGTTGGCGCAGATAGATGTGGTATTTTGCGCCATTAAATCTGAACCGTGCATCTTTAGATAATGAAACGATAAACAAGAGAAACAGCTCCCGTTTCCTTGTTTTTATTTCCCTCTCTCTATTTGGCTGGGCATGGACTCCTGGTTAGGGTTATGGACTGTGGATCCGAGGGGTCATGATTCACGTGTCACTGCTGCTAAAAACAGCAACATGGCGCTCCGCACTTTGGGTCATTGGATTCGTTATAAATAAAACACAATTATTCAATTTCAGTAGCCTAAGAGATGGCAGTGTGTGCTGTTGATTAGCTGCCTTCCCTTTAACATGTCAGGTCAAGACTAGAGTCGAATCATTCTCTCTCTATGTATATATTACCAGTGCTACATACCGTACAAATACGAATTTAAATTTTTTACCTTTTTTTTAGCCCCCCAGTGGCACAGCAGTATGTCTGCGGACTTACAACGCTAGAATCCGGGTTTCGATACCTGTGGTGGGCAGAGCACAGATAGCCGATTGTGTAGCTTTGTGCTTAATTACAAACAAACACTTTTTTTAAATATTAGCTTTAATATTTAATCCTTGCTTTTATAAGATATTTATTGATCAGGACAACAATTCAACATATTAATGTTTAATTAACCTTTGTATGCATGATACGCCTGTGTTAAAAACCTACGAGTCCGTTTTTCAGTTTGTTTGGGCTTCTGGGTAGCTATCTTAATTGGACACTGTGTATGCTTAATGAAAGCACGTATAATTTCCCGTTAGTTTTATAACTATTTCTCTTTTGCTCTGCTTATAACTGATATATAGGTTGACTTTAGCTTTGCCATGTCCCGAATTTGGTTAATAATTGTTAACACAATATAAAATATACAGGAAGAGAGAATAATATATATATATGTATATGTATGTGATCATGATCTCATTTTCCCTCAATCTTAGAGCCTCGAATAATAGGATTATTGATATTGCTGCCGAGCCCTATTTTTGTCTTTAAATTCACTTTTTTCTTTTACAAGGGTTCACAAATCACTGAACTAAATCAGCATCTAACATTTGGAACAAAATGTAATTCAAACTGTAATCTCATATGTATCAAAACCTTTTAGCTAAACTAGCCAACTATGAAAATCTCATATTTAAGATCTGAATGACGTAGCTGACTGTCTGATAACGATGGCTGTTTTTAAGTTGAATGAATGGTTTACATGTGACAAGGGTATAACATCAACGATCTCAATTATCTCTAGGTTGTTGAAGTTTCAGTTACGAAAAATAAATTTCCTATTTGGCAAGTGAACAAACATTTAGAATAAGTAGATGACTCTCTTTTTCCACTTTTACAGATCTCTAGTCGCGTGACTCATACAAATCTTGATACGGTTATATACCCAAAAGTTTATCCTGCAGATAGTCGCCACAGGTAGACACATATTAGATAAAGATTGATTGTAATTAAGCACAAAGCTACACAATGGTCTATCTGTGCTATTCTCACCACGGGGAATAGAAACCCGGTTTCTAGCGTTTTAAGTCTGCAGACATACCGCTGTGCCAATGGAGGGGCAGATAAAGATGCATATTATAAAAAGTAGCAACAAACATTTCTGTCTTTTTGCTTGTTTTTTTGTTGTTAAGTGCAAAGCTATACAATGGGCTATCTGTGCTGTGCGAACCACGGGTATAGAAACCTGGTTATAAGCCTCCAGACTTACTTTTGAGCCAGTAGGAGGGTGTGTGCCAATGAAAATAGCGACTATTTCTGTTGAATTGTAATTTTACTGATATCTAAAAAACTGATAAACAATTAGGAAGGTTAAAGTGTCGTTAAAACTTACATATTAGGAAGGTTAAAGCGTTGTTAAATCTAACATGTTAGGAAGGTTAAAGTGTCGTACAAATCTTGATACGGTTATATACCCAAAAGTTTATCCTGCAGATAGATAGTCGCCACAGGAAGACACATATTAGATAAAGATTGATTGTAATTAAGCACAAAGCTACACAATGGTCTATCTGTGCTCTTCTCAACACGGGTATAGAAACCCGGTTTCTAGCGTTTTAAGTCTGCAGACATACCGCTGTGCCACTGGAGGGGCAGATAAAGATGCATATTATAAAAAGTAGCAACAAACATTTCTGTCTTATTGCTTGTTTGTTTGTTGTTAAGTGCAAAGCTATACAATGGGCTATCTGTGCTGTGCGAACCACGGGTATAGAAACCTGGTTATAAGCCTCCAGACTTACTTTTGAGCCAGTAGGAGGGTGTGCGCTAATGAAAATAGCGACGATTTCTGTTGAATTGTAATTTTACTGATATCTAAAAAAACTGATAAACAAACAATCACCAGAAAATCAATTTCTGTCCATCTTAGTAGTGAAAATTTCGATCTAAGATAAGATGAATTGTTAAACATAAAAGGTGAAAAAGTTTTTGCAAGAAAAAACAAAAACAATTCCGAGTTAGATATCAATAATGTTTTCTAGAAAATGTTTCTTTGAACACTTCCCAAAAATGTTAATTTTTGCATTCCGAATCTAGTTTGAAATATCCTTGATAAATGTACAACAGGGCCATTGCGACAACATTATGGGGTCCCTGCAAGGTATATATTTGTAGGACACTTTCTATAGTTGAATTTGGCGCGTAAAAGGGAAATTTGTCTTACGTATTTATAAATGTTTTTATGCATAAGATTCAGTTGTTATATAGGTATCAAGGTGTGACAATGCACTTTTTTAATTGCTGTTCTTGCAAATTATTATCAATCTTTCTGGAAATCAAAAACCCTAGTTTTGGTAAACTCCTCTCAGTAGAAGCAACGGTCACTGGAACTGCAAGTAGTAGCCTGAGACGAACGCCGCATTTATTAGGATAATTGTTTGTTTGTTTGTAACAAAGCTACACAATGGCCTATCTGTGCTCTGCCCACCACGGGTATCGAAACCGGATTCTAGCGTTGTAAATCCGCAGACATTCCGCTGTGCCACTGGGGGGGGGCACACTAGGATAAACTGCTGCAAATAATTTTTGTAAATAAAGCGCAGTTTTTTTTAAGAGCAATTAAGTGTGTCTAAGAGAATTGCAGCTAAGCTTTGAAATTAATTTTTGTCGACATTTGACTTAACTCTATCGGTGTTGGATAGTGGCACAGCTTAATCCATGCATAATTTTAGAAGCTAATTTTCACTGTATTTTATTTTAAGTTAAGCAAGAATCTACACTATGGAACCCGGTTCCTAGCGCTTAAGTCCGCAGACATCATTATTTTAGCAAAGGGTATTATATACAGTTATTGGTACAATATAGAAAAAATCAACATGTTCCGTATCTTAAAACAATTAATCAGAAATTATTATTTTATTTCATTAATAGATTGAAGTCACAGATTACATTAGAAAATATGTGGGCCTAACAAAATGGTGAATTAGAATTATTGAAAAAAATTGGATTCAAGAATGTCGATGGTTTATTATAGATCAAAATATTGTGAAATTTCTTTTTTCGAATAATATATTAATTTTTTCCTTTCCTGTTTGATATATATATATATTTATATTAATAATTATTGTATATTATTATTATTATTGTATAATATACTGTATTAAGTAAATAATAGTTGATGATGTGATTAAAACTTGTAAAACAAAAGCTTGAATGTTTTAATAAAAGCACTTAAAATAAATCCAGCATTTTACAACTATTACTTGTTACATTAAATCGTTACATTAAAACATCATCCATTTTAAATAGATAGTAGTATGTAATAACTACTTATAGATGTTATGGATAAGAGGGATAAATTGGTAATGTAAATAG